CAACATGCTTTTTTTTTCTGATAGTTGAGAAATGTACAACTTTACATGATTGGTTCTTTTACAGTTTTCAGGCTCTTGAATTAAATAAAACACTTTGCATTTGATTGTAAAAATAAGCATATGAAGGGAGTATGCCCTTTGCAGAAGAGGTAGAAGGGCATTTTATGGTGGACTGGAAGCAAATCTCTGACAAGCACTACTGTGGCACACTATGACTCTGCTGAGCTGTTATTCAAACGCTGTTAATCCAGTCAATAGGAAGCCCACGTGAGAAGCCTAGAATTATATTGTAAAAACTCAACTTGTAACCTAGATAATTCTCCTTTTTAAAGACTTTTTTTTTCTTCCACTATTTTAATGTCAGTGTTTCAAAGTGACACAGTTCAAGTTATGTGATAACGTTTAAGCATTTCAGAGAAAAAATAATATAGATATAAAAGAATCAACTCAATGATCCAGGTTTTCCGTGCAAATCATCCATTATCTTGTCTTTTTATTCTCCCAAAAGGCTCTCTATCAACTCTAATTCTTTATTGAAGTCCATAATTGAAACAACATGATTTTGGCACTAAAAGTCGTTAAGTGGACAAAATGCCTTGGAAGAATGACAAGGTGATTGGCTACGTTGGGTCCAAATTTTTGGCCATTAGAACCCCATTTTATCCTACCTAGCCCCTGCAATCTTGTTTTTAAAATAAACCTAAATACAGCATATTTGCAGAATCTTGAAATTTGTATTACAAGGTTTTCTGTTTGTGGCAGGTTGCAATTTACACAGCAATATAAAATGTTGGAAATCTATTTCCTAACATATTATTGTAATGAAATATAAAAAGGAACCAATAAATATATAACAAGTTGAACACATAGCTATTCTATAAAAATAAATTCAGTAGCAATTGTAAAAAGCTTGATGAATAAACTTCCTTAATGTTGCAAATCACTAGTATGTCTGATTTACATTGTTTCTTCCTTTTACTTTATGGTCTCTTGATTTACCAATAAAATCTAACCTTGGCTTTCAACCTATTCTGCATGTCTACCATTGTCTAGATGTAATTTAGATTTAATCAAAGTTAGAAAATCTTAAATTTCTTAAGTAGAAAGACTCATTTTATGCATCAGCTAATTTTATCACCCCTTCACACACACATTTAATGACTATTGTCTAGTCGAACAGATAGTTTTTATTATCTATTGCCTTGTTTTGTTTTTTGCTCTGACTTTAAAAATTCCATTATTTTGGGTTGATTTTTCTTGCAGCTGACATCTGGTGCTGTCAGTATATCTGGAAATGGCCCAGAAAACCTAGCTGCTAGAAACAAATAGATGCATTCCGTTTTGTAAAGGTTAGTTTCTGATCCTTTCCAAAGCTAACTAACCTCTCCGTGATTCCCATTTTAATAAAGTTCTTTCATTAATGAAAACGGAATGACTCTTTAGATTCCTGTAACCATTGAAAAACATTGATAAGCTATATATTTAATGGCACTCATTCAATATTATTCACATTTAGAATGTTAAAAATTTTTATATAAAATCTGCCCATATCTGACCGTTTTATATTTAATATATATTAAATTATTCATTACTAATATATCCATCAATAGCATCTGGCTTCAAATTCTGTGAGACACCTGTGATGATAGAGATGGAAAAATATAAGATAATTTCTTGCTATAGCAACCCATCTATGTCACTTCATTTTCAAATCTGAATAAAAAATAGCTTTTTTCCAGGCCTTTCAGGTTAATGCTAAAATATATAAAAATGGAAGTACTTTACAAACTATATCCTTAATTCTGCATAATCAGCACAGACTCAAGAATTAAACTTCAGAAGATATATTGCTGTCAGGGACCATTTCAAAAAATAAAAAACATTGCTGCCATTTTAAACAGAAAAACATTTATTATAAAGAGCTGAATAAATATAAAGTAACTGGAGGAGTGGGAAGAGGCTCTAGATTGTTCCTTTAAGAACACTCAGAGACATATGCTACATCTGCCATAGAAAGATGAAATCTGAGGTCAGGACTGATAAGTTGAAGAACATTCTGCTGCAACTACAATCCAGTTATTAGCTAACATCAGCACTGCTATAGCTCCCCCTGGCACTCACATAACCACTGATTGTTCAGTAGGAGGCTGAATTCTGTCATTATCACTGCTATAAATGTGCTTCTCATTACTTATGAAGCTGAAGACGGAACATTGCAACAGAAATAAACATCTCCATTAATTTTTGAAAAATTATCAGTATTTATTTAATACTTTCAACTTTTTAGATTCAGGGGATACATGTGCAGATTTGTTACAGAGGCATATTGTGCAATGCTGCTGAGGTTTAGGATATGACTCATTTATTCATACAGGTAGTAAGTATACTCCCCAATAGGCAGTTTTTCTACCCATATCCACTTCCATCCCTCCTTATAGTAGAATCCAGTGTTTATTGTTGCCATCGTTATATCCCCGAGTACCCAATGTTTAGCTTCTACTAAGTGAGAACATGTGGTATTTGGTTATCTGCTCCTGAATTAGTTCACTTAGGATTATGGCCTCCAGCTGCATCCATGTTGCTGCAAAATGCATGATTTCCTTCTTTTTTATGGCTGTGTAGTATTCCATGGTGTATAAGTACCATATTTTAAAAATTCCAATCCACCCTTGATGGGTACCTAGGCTGATGCCATGTCTTTACTATTGTGAATAGTGCTGTGATGAAAATATCCAGGTATGTGTCAAATTTTTCTTTTGGATATACGTCCAATAATGAGATTGCTGGGATGAATGGCAGTTCTAAGTCCTTTGAGAAATCTCCAAACTTCTTTCCACAGTGGCTGAATTAATTTGCATTCACACCAACAGTGTATGAACATCATGAACTGTTTTGATAGCAGCAACGGACAAAGTGCCAGGAATTTAGTTCTCAACTTATTTCTGCCTTCCAGATCTTGTGTTCAGTGGTCTAGTTGGTGAGAAATAATTAAAATCCAGAAGACTAGATGCAGGAGGCCTTATATTGTAATTCTAATCTTTCTAATTTTAGAACTACAGAAATTCAAACTAGAAACCTGGGATGAGAACGTAAAAAGGACAGCCATATATACATGAGGTTTAAAGGAAGCAAATGAAAAGCTATCAGGGAGTCTTGCCGTTAAAATAATTGACACATGTTGTTTACAACTATTGTTACATTTTTAACATTACAATTTAACCAAGTTAACATTACAAATAACCATGATTTTACAAAAGAACTAAGGGTTATAAAGCGTGTCAATAGAGTAAAGAAGCTTTCCATGCTATATAAACATTATGAGAACAAAGAAAGATGTGGTAGTCAAACAGAACTTGATTAAACAGCTATTTTTAAAAGCCCTTTGTTTTTGGACTAAAAACTATGTGTTTTTACCTAGAGTACAAGAAGGTCAGTTGGATTTATTATACATTAGCTATGAATCAGGAACTGTAGCGGGTAAATTCACTTAAGTTATTTAGCAGTACACTAAGAAACATGCAAGGTTTCTAAATAAGCAAATGAAAGACTCAATTACATTTATTATATTGCAGCTATTAAAGTAAAAATATAAACATTTAAAAGAAAACTTTTAAAGCCAGAAATATGAAAATAAAGAAGTATTTTATTTATATGTGGATTTTAGGGGTGAGGGGTGGTGGTTAGGGATTGAATACCTAGCCCCACTTTTTACCCGTCTGCAGTTTAGAACCCTTTAACAGGAGTAGGAATTAGGCAGATGGAGAACAAATATATTTTTATTATCAAAATTGCTTTTAGTGAACATGATTTAGGTCTGAGGGCCAAATGAGTTTTCCGGTTCTTCCTGTTTCACAAATTTAGACCTAAAGGCAGTCATTAAATAGAAAATTTGAGTCTACAGAATAGTCATCCTTAACCATGACCCACACTCTTCTGGTGTGGAAGGAAAAATAGATGGAATTTCCAATGATAACAGCTGTTATACCCACCAGTGGAACATGGGGAGCAATACTTACCCTCCAAATGTATTTCGAACCTCCCGCTGGACTGATTAAAGCTTGGGGCAAAAGAAGCTGGCCATGTACTCTGGGGAAGTCCCAATTAAAAATTCCTCCTCCTGGAAACAAAAGGAATGGAAAGTAAATTTTTCCTTTAGAAACAACTTTATTTGTAGAGTATAGTATATTCAGTGATTAAAATCAACATGAATTTTTAAAAGCATTAAGGAAATAGCTCATTCCAGAGAGTTGCATTCATTGTGTTAGTGATTTAAGAAAATATTAAAGATGTTATAAATGTGTACAATTTACTTAAAGCACTTATCCTTGTTCTCAGTTTTCAAGTGTCTTCTAAATGTTCTGGAACATTAAATTGTATGTTCTTTATTTCAGTCCCATCTTTCTGAGAATCAGAAGTTTATTCAGCCAATCTCTAAAGACAAATTGTCATAATCATCCTATTTTTGATTAAGCAATAATGTATTTCTCAAAATCACTAGACTGCATGACACCCAACTAGCCAGCATTTGCTTAGCTTCGGAATACAGGTCTTCAGAAAGATTTAAACACTTGGCACACTTAAATTTTTTCATTTTACTATGGTACATGTGGAAAACAGCAGTAAATAGTAGTTAGTAAAGAGCTATTATGTCTAAGATTTAGGCATAATGAATTATTGGTAGTGTGGAAGGAATGGGTACTCAGCAATCAATCAGGAGGTAAGAGAAAAGAAATGAAGGTATGTTCAATTGAAGGTGGTCATTATAAGAGCAAGATGAGCTATATAAATTATAGTCTTCATCAATTAACTTTAGGGAAAGTAGGTTGGAGTGTGTAAAAATGGTTAGCAAATAAGAGAGGATGTGAGTGAATTTTAAATTATATAGTTTAAACCATTAAATATATAAATTTTCAAGGAAGATGAAATCTATGAGAAATATAATACTGAGCTATAATGTAGATTATTTAACAAATCACACTGCTATTCTAGATGCTTCCTACACCTTATTCTTGTCATTAAAACTACATTATTTTAAATTCTCATGATAATCCTAAAGGGAAGGAGTTTTTCAGATGAGGAAACTGGGAAAAACAGTTTACCTGTTTAGGCTTCAGTTTCTTCATTTGTATCGGGATAATAATCACAGTATTTATCAAATTAGTTTGTTATGAGGATTAAATAACTTAGCATGGTGTCTAACAATTGGTAACCCCTCAACAAATGTTGCATTATTATTATTAAAAGAGATAATGCAGTAAGTGTTGAGGCAGGGATTAAAGTCAAAGTAAATATCTGCAAAACCATGTATCCCCACAATGATATTATTATACATAGCTGCTTCAGTGTATGCCACATGGTAGACAATCAATACATGTTTCTTGAATGGTATTAAACTCAGAAGTCACTGAGATCATCAGTTGAATGAGTCATTCCATTGCAGCACCTTTCCATACATTGTGATAATGGAGGACACTCTCCCCATTAGGGTGTCTTGCTCTGATGAGCAGTAGCTCTTTTCAGTTGCACTGTCTGTCACAAAATGTATAACCTCATGTATGAGGGCAAAAAGGGCACAGAGAAATTATGTCTGATTTACAGCAAATCTACTGACCATTTTCTTCCATTATGAAATCTATATTAAGTTTCTTTGGAAAAAAATGGCTCTTACAAAACTTAGTTACATCCAGTAGTACATTTTCTGCATTTTGGGGTGCTTTTCCTTAAATGTGAAGCTTTGATACATATAACACTCTTTTATCCCCAAGTTTTGCTCAGAGATAGGTTTAAATTGGTGCTGTCATATTTACTTTCTTAAATGTTGCAGCTCTATTAATATATCTAATAGCCTCACTGATGTACTGCCATGGGCTCAGAGAATTTTGACGAAAAATGACAAAGAGATTATTTCTGCCTTGTTTAAGTAGTGGCTCTTGGAAAACATCATTCTTTGACTTTAACCGTATGTTCTGCCTATAGCTGTTACATTCTTTTTGAATACCTGGATGCCTCCATATCTCAGTCAATAGCTCAGTTGTATTGAATAAAGCCACAGATTTATACTTGATAAATTTATTAATTACTGTAACTATTTTTTGCTAATATCTAGTGACACTAGTGCTTTTTACCACTACTTTTAATCCACAAATATCGTTTGAACATTCACCATGTAGAAGATACTGAGTGGGCTTGGAGACAGGCATAGATTAATTCAAGACCCTATTCCTGGTCCAGTTAAACCTCAGTAGAAGGGGAGGCTGAGAAAGTTAATTTGATACCTTGCTTTGCATCACAAACAGAATGCATGAAACTTCTTAAAGTATTTATTTAGAGCTAGCTTTAATGTAGGAAGGTCATGAGAAGAATATGAAATATTTTCACCAGTTACCAAAAAGTACAAATAAAACATTAGTACAAAAGATAACATTGGGAAGACAAGTGGATGTTAGGTTATAAAGGGCTACTCTAAAAATACTGCTAGGAAAAAGGGTTGCCAAAAGTTGTCCCAGAAAATTTAAGAAGATAAGAGCAAGGTTTATTTGCTATTTTTTTCTTTTTCAAATTCTAGCAGTAGCAATATTTATCTGTCCCTTTATGCATTTACCATTTCATAAATATTACATGAGCACCTACTAGGTGATGGACATATACTGGTATATATAATAGACTTGGCTCTGCATTTGTGGCATTTATAATCTATGGCAGAGAGGAATAAAAGCAAGATAGGCCAGAGAAATTTTATTTCGTATCTAAGTTGAATACATTTTATACTCCTTTGTAAGTCTAGTTATCAAAAATTTAGAAGCAATATTTTAATGGCTCTTAAACATTTGAGACTGTTTCTTAGTTAAGCTCTTATTGATAGATGCTGAGGGGTAAGACTTGGTGGAATCTGAAGGCGATTATAAGAAATGGTTAGTTCTGAATGTGGTGCCTGCCACGTGGTATCAGATGGGACAGGAAAATACCAATGATTTACAGTGTCCTGGGCAGCATCTGTCTGGTAGCCCTCTGGTCACCTCAGCCTTGTTCAGTTGTATGTATTAAAGATCTGCACTTTGAAATCTCAGGCTACCGAGTGTCTGGATCAATGTAAATCAAATTTATACAAAATTTGGAGTCTTGTACACCATTTGTATGCATTGTATTCACTATGGTTTCTTAACCATAGCAGTAAGTTCCAGATGGGCTCCTTGGAGCCAAGTACTTGTTTTCTAGTTCTGGATTCACATCCAGTTTCCTGCTAAGATGAACACTGTAATATAAACTTCAGTCACTTCTCTGAGACACTGGCCACTAGCCAAGTTCCTACCGACTGACTTACAGTTACAGAATTATTTTTTTAATGTGTCCAATTTTTGGTGTGCATCTACTTCAACTTTGAAGAATGCCTAAAAATTAAAGCAATCTCTCTTCATTATCACTGCAGAGATTCTCTTTCCATGCTCCCACCCCATTGCAGAGACCTTTTGGATACAAATTCTACCTGTGGTTACATACTTAGTTGGATATTGTGATGTGAACTGTCCACATCCTTTAGGGTGAACTATTACTGGTTAGTGATTCCAGCACCAATTCTACCAGTTTCCCTCATTACCAGTAAAATCACATCATGCCCTTATTATTATTATTTTTTTTGGAGTAATCTGAACACTGATAAAACTGACTTGGATATAAGAAATCAGAACGTCAGGTAATTTGTGTAGCCTTACCATAATCTTTGAGACATTTCAAAAATCTGGGGATGATAATTAACACATTTATTGAATGCCATGAGTATGTCATTTACTATACTATATGTTGGCTCATGTTACCACTTTTATTTACCTCAGCTTTTTTTGAAAGGCAGATAGGCAAACATAAAACAATAAAATCATCATGGGCCCTACAAGCAACTTTTGAAGGTCACTTATTCCTTTTCACTTTACTTTTAGAGTATTGCTTAAGCTATTTAATGGTTTCTTTGAATCACTGCAAAGTCCGATGTTTGAGTATAGGGCTTTAAAGTAAGCCATTTTAAATCAGTAACAATGTGATGTTTTCACCATGATTCCTCTTTGAAGTAACTGCACTTGGTTCATTACCAATGGATTTCAATTGACACTGTTTAAATATTCAATTTTATATAAGAATATATATAATTCATGGAGATTTAATTTTGAAGCAGTTATTTTCTCTGTTCAAGTCTCAAGGTTAAAGCTGCTGTTCCCAAGCAGTCTGATTCAATGAGTACTGCTGTGTATAGTCTATGGTACGCAGTAGACCAATAAAAACACTCTGATTGATCTATCTCGTTATGGACTTGATGGCTTCCAAAGCACTAGCTATAAAATAAGCTAACTGGAAAATCAAAGCTTTAGTGACCTCAGAGGACTCTTCATCACGTAGTGCAGTTTAAATCATGTTACTTTAAATTTAGATATCACATGCACAACACATTTTATATAACAAACCAGTAAAAACTTGTAAACAGCTTTTTATTTTCCACCTTTTTAGGCTAAAACACTTGAACTAGTGAATAGCTTTCCAAGTACCAACCTTCTCTAAATATTTAAACTTCCATTTTAGCTGGATTTTCAGATTCTTGACTTCTTTCCCAGCACCTAAACTCTTCTTCAAATGCTCTATTCTAAAGACAACCACTAGTCCTATTTACATAGCTTTCTATCTCCCTGATCAATGTATTTAAATATAAAAGAAATCATTAGTTTAAACCCCAAATTTCAATTTGGCAAAAATAATTGGCATTTTTTTCTAGTTATAATTGGATAATTGAAAGGGTAGTTGTACAAAAGGAACAGTTTAGTGTGGTGAGATGACTGTGACTAGTTGGCTTCATTTTGTAGGAAAGGTCATTATTACAAAACTGAAAGATGTTTTTTTTAAGTTCTTGGAAATTTGAGTTCATTTACTCCTACCAGACAAAACTGTAAAATTTGCATCATTGTTTCCTAACATCTAAGTTTTCATGTATCCCATTTCTCTTTCTTACCATTCTGAACTTCTTCCCTATCCCCAAATACAGTGTCCTAATGCTATCCTCTAGATTCATAATTATCACCTTCGCCTATGTATCAACAACTCGATAGTTTTCCTATGTTTTGTGACTCTCTCATTCTTCTCTGTATTTTATTTTTGAAAACATATCTATTAGGTACCCATATTGAAAGACCACTTGTCTACTAGAAAACTGAGTTGAAATGAGATACCAGTGGTTGGTGATGGGCAGGTATTCATTCATTTATTTAAAATTTGCATATTATTCTAAATTATGCCACTGTGAATGCAACAAGTTATAGTGAAGCCCTTACAAAGTATTCGAGAAAACGGGATAGCAAATTTATGTTTAATTTAAAGCACAGAGAGATAATTTAAGCTTTTTAAAAGGAGTTTCAGTGTGTTAAAGAAAGATTAAACATGAATAAGGTAACACAAAATTCTTGGGATTGGCTACAGGATTTTATAAATAAACCAAGTTCATTTAGATAGCTAGCTTCTGGCTCGGCGCAGTGGCCCATGCATGTGGTCACAGCACTTTGGGAGGCCAAGTTGTGAGGGTAACTTATGGCCAGGAGTTTGAGGCCAGCCTGGGCAACATATTGAGATTCCATCTCTATTCAAAAAAAAAAAAAAAAAAGTCAGAGGCCTGTGATTTCAGCATTCTGGGAGGCTGAAGTAGGCAGATCACTTGAGCCCAGGATTTTGAGACCAGGTTGGGCAGCATGGCAAAGCCCTGTCTGTACCATACACCTTCGAGTGAGTTACTCAGTCTTTCTATGTGTTAGTTACCTCATCTGTAATGTAGACATCATGATAGAATCTACTCCTTATGGTCAATATGAGGATCAAATGAGTTAATATATATGAGCTTTTAGATGAGGGTCTATCCTGTAGCAAATACTCAATAAGTCCTCTTCAATCATCATCATCATCATTGCAATTATTGTTACTATTACTATATTATACATCTTATTAATTGAAGCATATTGAAGTGAGTTGCCCCCAGTCCAGTGTGTCTGTCTTCAGCATGAGTTCCCCCTGAGCAAATCTGTTTTCATGAACATTCATTCTGGCAGCATAAACAAAATGAGTGTGGCACAGCTGAGATTTGAAACAGGCATTTGCAGTAGATCAGTTGAGTGATAATGAAGAGTCAAAACTAATAGTATTACAGTGAGGTAGGAGGAAAGAGATGCATAAAGTGACTCCGATGAGAAAGTTTCATTTGAGTTGGTTATTGATTGGGTACTTAGAGTAACCAAGGCTATCTCCAAGGTTGAGTGGATGGTGGTATCTTTCAGTAGATCAGGGAATGTGGGAGGAAAAGCTGATCTAAAGGAAAAGATAGTGAGCAGAGTTTATGCATATGTATAGTGACTACTAGACAATGGGTCTAGAGCTCAAAGGAGATCCTGAAGAGTTATCAGTGTATATGTGTCAGATAAGATTATAGGAGTTACTTATTAAAGGATTATATGTACTTTAAGAAAAGTAGAGTGATTAAGATGGAATTCTCAGGAAATACAAACAAATTAACAAAATAATTATAATGTTAGATGTACCTTCGAAAGCAGAAAAGAAAGCACTGGTTTTACCTTTAAATATAAATTGAAAAACCCCATGAGCTTTGATCAGGACACTTCAGTAGCTTTCTGTTGTACTGGACATAAAATCCAAACTTGCTATGTAATCTCACTATCGCAGTGCTACTTCCTGATCACTCTGCTTCAGTTTCACCATTCTTTCTCCTCTTCAAATATATCAAAGCTCACTCAACATTCAGTTCATTTGAATTTGTTGCTTGTTTTTCCAGGAATGCCTTCTACTAGACAGTCACATGACATTTTTATACTCAAACAGAACCTTGTCAGAAAGTTTTTCCTGACCTACGTGTCTAATGTAATCTCTACCACACAGTCCTTTCTCATAGTCATTCTTTGTCACACTATGTTGTCTTAATATCATATTGTTTCATACTTCCTGAAACTATCTTGTTTATCTGTTACTTATTTTGTTGTCTGTTTTCCCACACTTGAATGCAACCTTTAGGAGAATAAGGACTTGCTCTGTTTTGTTCACCACTAGATTTCCTCTCCTGGAAAGTACCTTGTGATTGAAATAAACTGATTAAATATTTATTGAATGAAGGGATGTCTAGAGTAGTGAGAAGGATATCGTTAGAAGGATGTGTATTAGGTAGAGAAAAAATCAGGAGACAGACTACAACATTCAGAAGGAAGACGAATGATATCAGAAACAACAAAAAATAGTTTTACTGAATGTAGCAAAAAAGGGGGTCAAGAATGACAGTTGTAGAAATAGTTTAAGTAGAATATTAAAGTCAGAATTCAAATACATACACTTGAAGAATGAAAGAAAGATGAATGAAGAAAACAAATGAATTGCATTCTTTGAGGAAGTTAGGCTGAGCAGAATGAAGGAGATAAAACAATATTAAGAAGAGTTGATAAGAACTGTAATGGTTTTAGAGTCACATTCTGAAGAGTTAATAGGGTCAGTGTTTTTGTTTTGGGGTCTTTTTATTTTGATACACTTTTAAACTTAAAAAGTTGCAACAGTATTTCAAAGAACTCCTATATATTTTTTTATTTAAGGTCCTTATGTAAGTTCCAGCAATTATCTCAAATAATCTTTATGGCTAGAAGATCTATTTCTGGATCTAATATTATACCCAGTTTTCTTGTAATCTCTTCTTCAATATAAAAGTTCCACAGTCTTGAATTTTATTACTTTGATATTTCTGAAGATTCTAGCCCAGGGATTTTTTTTTTTAAGAACATCCCTCATATTGGTTTGCCCCATGTTCTTCATCACTAGGCAGAGGAAATGCTGTTCTTGCTGGAATATCACAGAAGTAATACTGTTTTTTCCTCATTGGCTCCTATTGAATGATACATGATATTAAGTTTTCTGTTACTGGTGATTTAAACTTTGATCATTTGATTTTAGAACTGCAAAATCGCTTGTTACCCTTTTGACTCACTTTTGTCTCATGGTTAATAATCTTTTTGTGGGGAGGAACTTTTATATTATATATAAATCTGTATCTCATCCTACTTTCACCCACTGGTTTTAACATCCATTGGAGTTTATTTCTTGAATTAAGGATTACTGTAATGGTTGTCAAATAGTGTTTTTCTAATTTCAACTTTCTCGTCTTTTAGCTCTCATTCTATTATAAGGAAGAGCTAATTCTTTTTTCTTTCTTCTTTCATCAATATGAACTTGTAAATTACTACCTATTCAGTTTATTATAAACTGTTAGTATTGTTTATTTTGATGCTTAAATTGTCACAGATTTGAAGTATTT